CATCATATAGCAGGTCCTTCGCAGAACGTCGTTTTCATCAATCTGCCTGAAAGAAACTCGGTCTCTCGCCTCGTGCATTGACATATCCAAGAAATCATTCACATCCTGTGCTGATCTTCGTTTTGGTCGCTCCCTGCCCCGTTCTGGTACAATATCTTCTGCAATTTTTTTCCCACTCCACCGTGGCGCTTGAGATGACCTAAATAGATCAGCTTCCGAGACAAGATACTGTCTATCAGCCAATCTTTCTTAATTTTACATAATTTTAAAGCTGGATAGGACCCCAAGAATGGACGGACTATGGATGTTATCCAAGCTCTCTGTGAACGAGTGAACAACGCAGAGGCACACAAAGGTCACCAGTGTCTTAAGAGAATGGTGCACCAGAGAGTGGCTTGGAGGCCGACACTCGTCGGAAAGGATTTGACAGTTCTAAGTTGTAATGTATTGTTTACTTAACTTCGAGAGTGAAACCGAACTCTACTATGATCACACACTAGACGATTAACACCCTGCGATACAAAGTAAAAATGTCTCGTTACTCGGATGAGAATTCCACCCCACACACCCCCCCCCCCCCGGGTACATATCCCAGAAGCCCCGTTTAACGGTTGTTATTTCAAGGCCGCTTGTGGTTTGAAAGTAACCTAAAGTCTGGACAGTGCGGGATGAATGAATTCGTCTATCTGCGTCACTGTCTGTGGCTTAGGCACTGCAAACGCCCTTCATAATTCTGACATGCAAGGTTCCAATGATCTGGCTGCAGACCGCATTGCGTTCGTTTCGACAGGGGTATCGACAGTCAACCGCTCAGAAGCAGGGACCTAAGAAAATGCTTCCACTTATCAGGACTTCTTCTTATCCAGTCAACATACACAATAGAGAAAATTGCCGGGACTAAGCTGATCATGACGACTTAACCGAAATTCGACTTATCTGAGTTCAACTTAAGTGGACTCGACTGTACCCCATTTGCAGTGTAGGCAGGGGGAAAGGGGGTCTTTGAGCTATGGCCGCATGGCTAGTGCTGTCACCATGACTGTGCAGGTGAGGATTTTATTGTGCCCTTATCAGAAGAAAATCCCTATCCTTACCAAGGATTCGAGAGCCCAGTGCTCTAACCGTTTGGCCAGCCGCTCCTGGATGTGCAGTAATTGCTTAAAGTTTGTTACATACACACAGGAGCAGTTTTGGATCTATCTGTGTGTAGTGTTGACAATAAATCTGTGCCCTGTACAAGGTTCAAATGAACAAGTTACACATCACTGTATCCTTAAAACAAAACAAGGAAGACGACGCTTAGGCATTTGAACACTACAACAAGCTGTACATGTACGTGAAATAAAAGCACAATGCCAAAGAGCCAGTGCACTTATATACCGACACCATTATTAAGACATCAAGAGATAATCACTGCAATAAGTATGAACGCTGAGAAACAAATTATAAACAACATATTCAAGCCAACGCAGTGCTAACAGTGCCAGATTTGGACATTATCAAAGCCTAACCTAAGAAAAATTAACACACGCGGACTGAGAAAAGCTGCCAACTTAACCATCCAAGCAAAGTTGAAAATGATATTATCAGAGGGACTGTGGGAACAACACCATGCAGCTAATTCACTGAGAAACAGATGGTTTGATCATCTAGTAAGAGGGCAGTCAGAACTATTACCAAAGCAGTCGCTACACATGAAAAGATAAGTGAAAGAGGTTACCTTGAGAGAAGCGGACTGATGACATTAAATGGCACATTAAAGTGCTTCTACATTGACACTGAAGGACAATAGCCATTGCCGCCCATCTTGCAATGGATCACAAACTGTTCCTCTGCATAATGCTTAACAGCAGAAGTGGAAACTGATGATGATGATGATGAACAGCTGTACATTTCTAAAAGAACAAACTACTTAGTCAGTATGCAGTAATATGTAATTACCATGAAACATCTAAATAAAGGCCTCAAAGAGACCACAAACATTAGTCCTGCTGCAACATGCAATTCCACACACATTCTACTATTTCTGCCCGTTATTCCCTGATAGAGTATGAGCCCTTACCAACTCAAGCAATCCTTTGCTACTACAGGCATCTTACCTCATCTGTTTACCAAGTATTCTGTAGTTCCATTTCCCATGTAATTTTTTGGGTCCGCCTTTCTTATTTTGACCCTGTGGGCTCCAGCACCAAGACATGCTAGTTAATTTATTATTTGTTGTTTTTTAATGTGTATCCTAGTGATTTAAAGAGATTTGCCTTTGTATTCATAGTTTTAGATCTCTAATTAAGTTCCCCTATCTTATCAACTTAATTTTTGCTTAAATAGGTGTATGACTCCTCATCTTGAAGTGGGATTTCATCAAGATCGGAGTGTTGTTTGCCAAGTTTATTCTCATTATCTTTGTCTTTCCCATAAGAATTGTTAGATCTAATTAATGAAAAAATATCATCAAGTATGTTTAATATATCGTACATCTGATTTCAAGTGGGATAGTAATGAAATGTCAGTGAAGCCAAGATCATGCAGCGGCCCTGGATGTGCAGTAACTGCTTTAAAGTTTGTTACATACACACAGGAGTAAATTTGGATCTATCTGTGTGTAGTGTTAACAATAAATATGTTATATATATATACATGTATGTATGTATATATGTGTGTGTGTGTATATATATATATATATACACACACACACACACACAAATTGACATATATATATATATATATATATATATATATATATATATATATATATATATATATATATATATATATATATATATACACACACACACACACACACATACATACATACATATATATGACATGTTTTTTTATATATATGTATGTATGATTTTTAAATCTGAGGCCTTTGGGAGCGAGTGAACTGTGTGGAGGCATAGACAGATCATAAAGATCTGAGGAAAATGACGCTGCAAGGAGTTACCAGGAGATCTGGCAGACGCTCAACACTCAGGTGAAGGGCGAGATGGATATACAATCAGACAGTTACTGGTACCATATGAAATGGAACACTTCACTGCTGAAGATGGGGATGAAACGCTTATGGGGGTGTCCCGAATGTTCTGACGCTGATTCTCAAATTAACATTCAACATTCTATTTAATTTTTGTAATGAGGAATGACAACATTAAACATGCTTATATCATGAATATTAATAAAAACCACAACTATGCTTTAAGCTTTAATAATTCAAATGAGTGTTTCACATAAAATCCCATCAATGAAAAACTAACCAAGATGAGCAAGGAAAAATGGTGAAGACGTGGTACACAGCTTCAACTGAAATGCTGCATCATTTTTCTGTGCACAGGGGTTTTAACATGTACAAAAGATTTCCCCAAAAAAGAGACCACTATAGATATTCAGGCAGACCACAGCCTCTGAATGCTGGGAAAATAAATGTAAACAACAAAATTCAAGTCAAAAACAATCAGAAAGACAAATAAACAACAAAAGATTGAGTAAATCTATCTATCAGTCTGGTGCCAGGCTAAATTCCATCCACATTTTTGTTTTTATTTTTAAAGATTGTGCAAGACAGAATGGAACACAGGAATCGAGACTGCGATCTCTATGTGTTACATAAACAGCACAATGGAATATTGATGATAAGAACTTTTTTCAGCTCAATAGACAGAGATAAGAACTTTTTCCAGCTCAATAGACAGACATGACAATGTGGTTACATGGAATAAAGTGGACAATGCAATGGAACAGGCGGAAATGCCATACCTAGAAAGACTAATTTAGTGAGGAAAAGTAGAAGGTCTGGATGGTCTTCAATGTGCAAAGGAAAACACGTGGCAGTTTGCAACTTTAGTATAAGAACTCCATGTTGGCTACTGAGTAGGGAGAAGGAGCATGTATGGGTATGCCTCAAGCGCAGTGATGCCAATTCTTGATTCATTCATTTAGATATAATGACAGAACATATTGTAAAATGCTGCTTTTGCTTTTGCTATTCTACATTTAACTTCTGTATAACATCTTCCACTGCCGTTATCAGGGTACTCATAACTTGACCACACTGATTTGCTTCAGACCAGCCCCATTTATTTTGATTCCGCATTCTGGAAAATATATTTGTTAGTAATTCCATTACTTCTGTTCTGCTGTTCACTTAAGACCTTTAAACTGTTTCCCTGTGTGTGGCCCCATTCCGAGGAAGAAAATAACAGATACAGTGCCCTCTAAAACAAGGACATCGACAAGGGTGACTAATTAGTTTGCTAAAATTGAATATGTTGGGCCAAAACGTACAGATTTTGCATCCTAGCTGCAAACCTCAACACAACGTGCCACAAGCAGTTGTTTAGCTTTCTGCTATAATTATTTTCAATCAATCACATACTATCTTAACCATTAAGGTTGGCTGCAATTGATTTCCTAAAATTTTTTATATCTATAGTCCTAACTGTACATTCTCTGATGTTATTTAAATCGACGTCACTGCACACTGGGCATTCCCATGCATGCTCAGTCCTCTGATGCAGCAGCTACTCCAAGGTACATCTACTAATTGTTCCCATGAGAAAAAGTTATTTTGTCTCCTATCACAGCCTCAAAAGTGGCACAGACGTGCTTTACTCCAATGTCATGCAATCGTGTTAGTGTCAAGTACATTCTTTGAGATTGTTGTTTGTCAAACTCTTGAAGTTATCTCTCCATGTGTATGGTGTATGGTGGTCAACAACTTTTCTGAAACTGTTTTTTAAGTCTTTAAATGTGGTCTACATATTTCACTTATATCTTTTTTATTTCTTTCAACAACCGTCTTTTCACGGAGCCTCTTTAATAAAGTGTTTTTGCTATCATGAATTCTTCATAACTTACAACTACAACTACAATTTAAAAAAAAAAATGTTATGCAAGTGACAGCAAAAAATTATGAACAAGTCATTAACAAATGCACTTCAGTCATTCTCCATGCAACGATGGCAAATATCATTCAGTCATATCATCTCTCCATCACATTTTCACTTAGGCAATATCCGACGATTATCACCGGATACTTTCTCCATCTCTTCTTTCAACTGCTTCTCGATAATCTTCTGTCTGTCAATAAACCCTTGTTTGCCCTTGCCATAAGAGTTGGGTCCTGAAGCTGTTGGTGTGTCTCTGCAAGATATGTTATTTAAAAAAAGTTAGTTGCATTTATCTTTCAGGACTTCACAAACCAACTCCATCATTTATTGGCTGGTAGGTTACAGAGATGCTTATTCACCTGCAGCAGTGTGCCAGAACAAAGAATCGCATTAGTCAAGACCTTTTTACACCTCTAATTGAACATCCCAGAAACAGATTACCTGTCAGGAATCTGGTCAACACAGATAAGATCAACATGTTTTTAAAAGCTAGAACACTTCTGAGTGGTGAGGAACCATCAGTCTGCACACAACGAGTGAAATCTGGGAAAACAGATGTGCATGTAACATTCAGGTTCTAGACCCACTGTCAAAGTTGGAGCACATCTACCTGAGTGGCAAGGAACCAACAATCTGCACACAAGTAGAACAGATCTATAAAATGGATGTGCATGCAAAATTCCAGTTCTGGAAAAAAAAGGTTAAGTCCAGAAGTGGATAAACAACCAGAACATTCTGCCGGAGTTTACAGTCAGTTAATGCCAAGAAGAAGAAGAACACAGTCCAAAAACAGAACACAAACTGAGACTTTCCACCAGAATTCAGTTGGTAAATGTTGGAAAGTAATAGTGAAATATTTTTTCTGCATTCCATGCGTTCTGGGATCAGAATTTAACATCAGTTTGGACATTTTAAGCTGCATTCCACACCAGTTCCTGTTTTGTACCCCACTGTTTGTTTTTAGAGAGGTATCTGATTGTAACCGACTCAGAGAGCATGCTGAGGAAGATCAGAACAGGCATGCTTCGTGCAGAGTGGCATGCTTCGCTGCGGAGGACACGGGTGAGGATGTTTTCCCCGGGGCACACCGGTGTGTTGGGAAATGAACAGGCGGACAGACTTGTTGGCTCTGCACAACTTGGTGGAATATTGATACATGATAAGGCAGACATGGTTAGTGCCTTGTGGGAGAGTGTGTACAGTTCGTAGGAGCAGATGGATCACCACAGTCTGGTGAGATTGATGCAGGGGGAGTGACAAGAGGTTCTGGCAGATGCTCGAAGCTCAGAGGAAAGGCAAGATGGCTACTGGCACCATTAGTATTGGAACTCTTCGCTGGCTGTTGAAGATGGGGACGGAGCACTTATGGGAATGCCCCGAGTGCTGTGATGTCGGTTCTTGAATCAAAATCAGAGAGGTATCGTGATGTGTTTCCATAACTTGTTTTTAGTCTCTAGGCAGACTGAACAGAACTAGTGCTGAAGCTGGGAACATAACTAGTGCTGAGCCTCCTGGCAGAGGAGACATAACTGTCCGCTGGTAAAAGAGTACAGAACCGATGTTGACCCTCCTTGTTAAAGGGGATGGAACTAGTGTTGAGCCTCATGTGAAACAGGACTAGTGGGTAGGACAACAGACTATAGGAGTAAATACTGTAATTTGGGTGGTTTGCCATGCTCAGGCATTCAGAGAAATGTGCCAATGAAGGTGATTTAATTAGGACACATTTTCTACTATCTCAAAAAAAAAAAACACACACAAAAACACACAGCTGTCTCCAGCACCCACTCCCTTTCTTTACTCCCTGCTCATGCAGTAAAGGAACATCCTAAAGTGCTGTTGTCTGTTACAGACGGCTTGCAGTTTATTCTTTCATGCCGTTCTCTCCAATATAATTGCTTCAATATTATATCCAGCCCATTACTGTCGGCCCTTTTCATAAACATTTATATATAACCTGTGAGTAAAATGATTCTACCACTAATAATATTTAGGTTTTTCCTTACGCTATTCACTTTTGCTAAAGAATCTTTGAAAAAAGTGATCTTTTCTTTACCTAATTATCACATTTTACATCAGATGTTTTTAATTAACTCTTTCAATCACAGAAGATTTTGCAACACATTACCAGAGAAATGCCTTTGGAAAATCATAAATATATTATTTTCAAAAAGGGTTAATGCACAATATAAGTGGTCACTCAGAAGCCAGATTTATTTGGAATCCTGTAACTAAATGTAGAGAAAGAGAACACATGGGTGAATTTTGGGATTGTCTGAAAAGGGTAAGAAATACGTTTTGCGTTTCTTGGGACCTAAATTCTTAAATACTGCTACAATGCTATGAAAAAAACACTTTAACATAATCTTACCGTCCAATGTTTTTCATTCTCATTTTAGCTTCTGGTGGCATTTCTTCCCCATCACTCTGAGAAGGTAAAGAAATAATAAACTTGTAATTCCCTCATCACAGGCTTAAACAACTAGTTTATTCTCTATGTATATACAATTCCCTCTGGAATTTACCTGTACAAATTAGTTAACAAAAGACAAATATACTGAAGACACCAATAGAATATCAAGCACGTGTAACACTAGAGATAAACGGAATAAAGTAACAGATAAATTCACTTATCTGGGTAGTAATTTTGATAGTGAAGGAAATACAAAGACAGATATTATGACACACATTGGCAAGGCAGTGTTTAGTAGCATGAGCAAAATATGGAACTCTAAATTCTATAGTTTTAAAAAGCAAGTTACGTATTTTCAATTCTAATGTTATTTCAATTTTAACATATGTAAGTGAAAGCTGGAGAACCACTAAAGACATAGAAGGAAAGATAAATGCATTCGGAAACGTATGCCTGAGGAAAAGGATGAACATTTCATGGGGTCAATTCAAAAGTAGTGAAGAATTCAGAGAAATGTCTGGGCAACTACTAGTATAAACAGTTATAAGGCAGAGAAGAAAGCTCTACAATGGACACATGATGAGAAGGAATTAGCAGTGTGTCACCAAAGGAGGTGAGAATGCCTAAAAGAAACTCTGGCTCTCCTTTAAATAACGGTCGCTAGCTGGAAGACGACGGTCGCTTAGTTGGAGTTCACTCCCTTGGCTGCAGTGCAAATATGGAGCGGACAAGTCACGAATCAAAAACAAGAAAATTTTCACATATAGCGGCCGTTATTATGGGTAAGTACTCGACGCCACATGTGTTACCCTAACCCAAACCCTAACCCTAACCCAAACCCTAAGCCTAACCTGACCCTAAGCAACCGTAGCATGACAGGTAAGTATGTCATTTGTTTCGTTCCCTCTTTACCACTCCATATTTGCACTGCAGCCAAGAGAGTGAACTCCGACTGAGCGACCGTCGTCTTCCAGCTAGCGACCGTTATTTAAAGGACAGCCGAAACTCTAAAATAAACGTTGATGAGAGAGCCCAAGGGTTGCTAGATTTGATTCCATCCATGGCCAGGAACTGATTGCACAAAACAGAATGGAATGGGGGAACAGACTGCCAGCCTTTGTGACACATAAAGGCACATCAGGACAAATAATGACTGAATCTGGTAATCTTTGTTAACCCTGTGTTTACATATGTCTTGATGATATTGCGCTCATTCTAATAAAAAGTAAAGTAAAGATCCCTTTTCACGCCTTTCGGCGCATCGGGCATATGGGCAGAGCGTCCCATATTTTTACAGACCATCAGCACTCGGTGGGTAATGTGGTCAGCATTACGCCGGCTGTCTTTACTTTCCCAGGACAGCCCATCCTGGTACCCATTTTAGGCTGGGTCGACCTGCGACGTCACATACCACGACACAAATCCACGCAGCCTGCAGTGGGTTTCGATGGCGGTATGCTGGCTTACGAGTCGGACTCGCAACGCCTTAGCCACGATAACACAACCAGATCACTCGCAGCCAACAAAAGCTGGCTTTTTATAAATTAGAGAGATAGTTACAATTCACTGTCATAGTCTAAAAGAATTTTTTCTAAAGTTGAGGGTTTTGTAAATTGTATAATTTCATTTTTAATTCACTCATCTACTTTTTCCCATTTATTTATATACAACTCTCCTTAACCTCTTTGCATTCATTTATAAATCTATCTTGTTCATCTACATACCCATCTCTCTTTTCATTCACTCATCTACTTATCTTTCCACTGATTTATCCAATCTATCTCACTCTTCATCTATTTATCCATCTATTTTTGCATTCATTCATCTAACTTTCTTTCCATTCATTTGTCCATGTATCTTGTTTTTTACTTACTTATCCATCTTTCTTTTCACTCATTTATTCATCTATATTTAATCAACGAGGCATTCAGATGCCGACAGCCTACCTCATCTGACTCGTCAAAAGCTTTTGCTGCCAAGGCACTCTTCTGAACAACAGGGGGTGGCTCTTTGCTCTTTTTGAAAACAAACAAGAAATACACAATGATGATGTGTTTGATCAATCTGAGGACAGTGATTTTATGTGTATCCTTGATGGTAAGTTGTCAGGTCTTCATTGAAATATTATCCCCTGTGTGGATTCCGAGGCCCCATATTTGAAAACAATAGACCCTAACAAGCCTGTTGCACAAGGTGACTATGGAAATGTTTCCTTTCATTTCGGGGTGCATCTGCCTGAGAGGTGAGGAATCAACAGTCTGCATACAAATAAGTCAAATCTATAAAATATTTGTGAGCATAAAAATTAAATTCTAGAACAAGACCAAAGTCCAGAAGTGGATGAATAACCAGAACTTTCCATCACAGTTTACAGTCTGTGAATGTGAAGAAGTGAAATATTTTGACCACACTGAAAGACCTAACACTCTTTTAAAAACCATACAGAAGTAAGAAGTCGAAGACAAGACATCAAGAGGCAAATAAGGAGAAAAGTGGAGGGACATCAAGAGATGAATACATAGCAGTTCTGAAAACTTAATTTTATAGCACGGCAGACAAGGTCCTTAGCCTTGTTTGGGAAGCTCCAACAGGCAGACAGACATAGCAATGCTTTTCCTGATTTGGGAACTTCTGCTTTTTCTCAAAAGTACTGGTGTTACCTTTTCTTTGGAGGAAACAAGGCAGGCCAAGAAAGTTATCATGCTGCATGGCAACACATGGTCTCTACCATACTATGTTTGTTTTTTATGTTGAAAGTTAAATTAAGAATCAACATCACAGCACTCGGGACACCCCCATGAGCACTCCTTATCTATCTTCAGCAGCAAGCAAAGAGTTAAAATTCCGATCAAACAAGGGGCAGAAGGAACTTCATACCTGATATTTACTGCGCATGAAGATGGGCTGTGATCCCCATGTTTTCTTATTGTACAATATAACATTATCATCTAGAAAAATGCAAAGGTGCCAACAAATTATAAATGGATAGTGTGTGTTGGTTGATTTAGAAGAGAATTTAGAGTTAAACTTAATTAATACACAGAAGAGAATGGAGCAAGCCCATGAAAGTCCTGAGGGCAGTGATGTTAACTTCTTATTGATTCATTTTCAGAGATCTAATGCAATGGCAAGATACCTGCCAGCCAACCAAAATTCTTGGGTTTGAATCTCTTCCTCCTTGTTTTCACCAGCTGTAAACTCTGGCAGAAAGTTCTGGTTGTTCATCCATCTTTGGACACCAGCCTTGTTTTAATACTTGAGTTTTGCACACACAAACATTCTACAGATCTGGATTATTTATATGTACACTGTTGTTTCCTTGCCTCTTAGGCATGTGCACTAGGGCTTAAAAAAAAACCCCTTATTTGTCTAATCTTAAGACATGCTTTTCAGAGACACAGTGGGACAGGGAGGTTTTGAATCTAAAGTAAAGGTCCCTTTTCTACGCCTTTAGACGTATAGTGCATATAGGGCTAGACCTGTATTTCAATGGACCAATCGGCACAAGATGGGTGATGTGGTCAGCATAACGGCTGCCTTTACTTCCAGGAACTGCACCCGGTAGCCAATCAAGGCTGGGTCGACCTGGGAGTCAAGGTCATTTTTTAAAAAAAAGTGGTTTTGAATCTACAATGAGGAAAATTTTATAACTGATCTAGGACTCTCAGGTCAGTCCATCTCAAAATGGGTACCAAGAAATGTCCTACAAAGTAAAGGCAGCTTCTGTGATGCTGACCACATCACTCGTGTGCTAACTTGTCTATAGAAAATACAGGTCTAGCCCAATATGCCATTGCTCCAATGGTGCTTACTCTGTGTTTTAAACATGATATATTCTGTCACTGTCATCTCAGGGGGTGTGAATGAAGTTTCACAAAACTGAGATTAGTGATTACTGATTTCAGAACTGACATCATAGCCTGCCAGAATACCCACAGATGCTACATCTTTGATGATGTTACCCTGGGAATGCTATTGAAAATAATGGGTCATGACCCGATCCTTTAAAAAACAACAATTTTACACAGGTCGCTAATAATGTTTAAAAGAAAAAAACTAATTTTTCTACACTTTTGTTCTGAAATACATAAAGATATTCAAAGAGAGTAAACAGAGTAAAGCATTAAATGGATACATTCAACAGGGCTTTTTGTTTTAGATAACTCATGCCTAGACCCCTATCACAGAGGCTTTTAGGAAATCTGACATCAACTTAGCTTTAAAAATGTCATTTGGTTCACATGAACACGCCCTAAATGCTATTTTTAGTTAATATATTCATATCCTAACCTGCTAAACACAGCCAATAGCATGAACTATTGGCTATTGTAAACATCTTCTCTGTTCACTGGCTGTAAGCTCCAGTGGAAGCTGCTGTTTGTTCATCCATTTGGGCTTCAAATTTGTACCAGAGCCTGAGTTTTGTGTGTGCATCCATTTTACTGGTTTATTTGTGTGCACAAAGCTGTTCCATGCTGCTCAGGCAGACGCACCCCGATTTTGAAAGAAGCCCCAAATTAGTCAACTTCTGTGACATGCTGATTGGGGCTGCAGAATTCACACAGGGAACTGTAAACATGTCACTGTAGATGTGTTGGTAAAGTAGCTTTCTCAGGGAATTGGACACAGTCGAAATTGTCGGTTTTGTGGCTTCTTAGGGTCAACAGGGTTGAGGAGTAGGGAGACCCTTCCAGTAACACACTGGATATACACATGTCTGACTGTTCCTCTCATACGGCCTCTCTGACTGTATCCATACTTAATTGCAAATTCATGCAACCTTACTCATGTAGTTTCACCTCACATCTTATCTTCCATCAGCATTCATTCATAAATGGTCTTCAGAATATCTGTCTAGTCCAAAATTAGTTTCCTACTGCTGTCACTTTTGTCCACCCAAAGAATCTGCTCTTTCATTACCTCACACTCCAGGATAGTAAGTCAATGTGAGTCTCTGTAATGTTGATACTAGGTGTCAGCTTACACCCCACATGTCAACTTTGAACTTTCCACAAAACCTGATTCAAAGTTATCTGCAGGTGAATTGATGGCACACTACTTAAAATTTTTTTTGTTTTTTTTTGACAACGGTGTAAGGGTTAAGAAGCTGTGATAGTGCAGCGCTAGATGTGCTAGATGATTGCTGGCTCAAAATTCTTGGGTTTGAATCCACAAGACGCACTTTTTTTTCAAGTTGAGACAGGCCCTCACGTCTACATACCTCAAATTGGTACCAGGTCTGAAAAGTAATGGTTTGTGCCAAAAAAGGCATTTGGTCTTAAAAGTAATGGTGTGTGACAAAAAATGATCATGTATGAAAAGTAATGGTATGTGCCAAAAATGGACATCATGTCTGAAAAGTAATGGTGTGTGCCAAAAATGGGCATCATGTCTGAAAAGTAATGGTGTATGCCTATGATGTGATATTATTTTGTAAGTGTCACAGAATTCAGAAAGCAATGGCCAACTATTTAATTTAAAATTGCCTAGTAAAAAAACACAACAACCATCATATGCCGAGGCTGATTTAACGCTTTCAGTCCCAAGGAACACATCAAATGTTCACAGGTTCCTACCTCAAAGCCCAATAAAGGCAAGATGCATTGATTATATATCTCTCTTTACTACCCCTTGGGCCTTTGATGTTAAACCTCATGGGATTAAAAAAGTTACGGTATCTTTTAAAAAACGGGTCACAGGATCTTTAACTTGTAACTTGAATGGAAAATAACATCATACAGTCGAGTCCACTTAAGTCGAACTCGGATAAGTCGAATTTCGGTTAAGTCGACATGACCAGCTTAGTCCCAACAATTTTCTCTATTGTGTGTGCTGTTTGGATAAGTAGAAATCCTGATAAGTGGAAGCATTTTCTTAGGTCCCTGCCACTTCTACAATCTTGACTGTATACCATGTTTCCTCGAAAATATGGCCTAGTCATATTAATTTTTGCCACGAAACAAGACTTAGGGCTTATTTTCAGTATATGTCTTAGTTTTCATGTACAAAAGTCTTGTATTTTTTAAAGTAAAATCTTCATTTATTCAAACAATTTTAATTCAACTTAATTAAAGCAATATTATTATTACAAATCATTACTCTATATTTCAATATGTCCATTGTCAGTTTCAGTAGTCAAATATAATCCATCCACCTGGCTGATGAGCTTATTCTTCTTCTTTTGTCAAAATCTGCTTGTGCCGCTAGGCGTCGCAGTCTATCAGATGATCAGCAACCGACTTCATATGCCGTGATGTTATGAAGTCTCAAGTTGTCCGTGACTCCTTCAATCCATCTTCTTCTTGGTCTTCCCCTGCCTCTTGGTGTTTCGATTTTCATGTTGTATGCTCTTGATGCTGGCATCGTTGGTTCCATTCTCATTAGGTGACCAAACCATTTCATTCTTTGCTTCTCAATAAATTTAACGATGGGTATGGGTTTCTTGTAATCAATCGTTTCTCACTCTATCTCTTCTGGTTTTATTCGCAGCCATTTTCAAACATCTCATTTCACAGGTGGTTAGTCTTCTCTCATGTTATTTTGTTAATGTCCAAGTCTGACATTGATAACCTAATGTCGGTATAAAGATTGTATTTATAATTTGTCTTTTTATCTCAGCTGGGACAGCATGGTGTTTTAAAATTGGGGCAAGCTGGTATGCGACATTGTTGGCTTGTTGGATTCTTGCTTCGATCGACGATCTCTCAGTCTATTTTACCATTGAATGTAAAGATACTTCCCAAGTATTTAAATTCTTGCACTTGTTTTAGGCGGTGATCTAGAATCTTTATGTCGATGGTCTGTTGCTCTCTACTTATGCTCATGACTTCTGATGAACTTATTAAGGGCCTATATTTGGGGTAGGGTTTATAAGCATTTAAAAAAAAATCCTGCTAGGGCTTTTTTGGGTTAAATCTTTTTTCGCTGACATATGGTTATTCTAAAAGAGTAAGTACATAGCTAAGGAAAAATAATTTTAAAAAATACAGCTACCTGAACCTGGTTTAATGACATCTTAATTGGAGCTGCTGTCGTCTTTGCAGGTTTACTCTGTAAGGGAGAGACTTTTGCTGTCTTGACTTGACTTGATGCACTCAAATTAAAGCTGATCTTCTGGCCAGCCGCTGGCGTCGACTTTGTGCCAAAGGACATGCTAATTTTCTTGGCTGGGGCCACACTATCTGAGGATTCTGTATTACGACGCTTCTCAGCTCTGACTTCCCCATCATCATCCGGACTTGAGTCTGCTCCTGAGTAATGTGAAAGACTGGGGGATTTGAGACTACGAGTCGAACCGAAAAAAGAAACAAGAGAATCGCAGAGTAAACAAATAAGTTATACCTTTGGGCAAGTTGTCTCACTTGTGTGGGCAGCACTTTGTTCAGAACATCTTCAGCTGTATGTAAATATCCACCGTTAGATTAAAGTATTTCCTGTGAGGGTTCCAGCGCCCAAATTTTGGGGTTAAAAAAACTAGCAACTAATTAATGATATGCTGAAATTGTATGTTCTGGGCTAAAAGCTGCAGATATTGCAGCCTAGGTGTAAACCATAATATAATGTGCCAACCACTGTTTTAAGTGCAATCATAGAAGAGGAAGATTAGATACCAAGATGGGAGACAGAAAAAAAATGAGGATCAATACAGCTGGTCTTCAATGAGAAGATTACAGCTCACCAAATCATGACTATCCAGCCTTTGTTTCATTGGTTTTATAAATTTAGCGCTGACTGAACAGCCTGATTATGAAAACTGATGTACTAAGAATGGGTAGGAAACAGAACATGAATGTTATACGTCTTTATCAATGAAGAAAACATGAAACCTACATGAGAAAAACAACTAAAAATGATGTCAAAGAGAGGTGATTTTCATAATGAAATAAATCATAAAGTGAAAAATATGTATAGGAAGATAAGAAACAATACATATACAGAAAAGTGGGGGGTGGGGGAGGGAGGGGAAAAGTGTGGCTGTGTAGGGGGTAGGCTGTTATTAAAGAATACTGAGCTATGAAAGATGTTTTCTAAGAAATGACAGGCAGTTTTCTCACAGAATCAGGATTTTATGGTAGTAAGAAAAAAGTCAGCTTCCAGATTTGAAGCCTGTCAGATACTGCGTGAGCATGCAAGACTAAATGCATGCAAAAATGCAAGAACACAGATACAGATGCTCACATTTTTTGGGGCAAGACTCCATGATTAATTTATTGAAAAGTTAAAGTTAGTTGTGTTTCATTTATAGGTCGTTGCAGAACCAACCCCAGAATTTTTTGGCTGTCGTGGTTTTTCTAGGCAAATTTACATCCAGCAGTTTGCCATTGTTTCTGGACGGTCTGTTTCTTGATACCACTGTCGAAACCAACGCAAGGCCTGCAGCTGGGATCGAAACTGGCACCCTGGCATTACAAAAAGCCTCCATGTTGTAGTGGCTGAGCTGCTTGCCTTCTTATTTTACTTCTTTGTTCACCAGCTGTAAGCTCTGGCAGAAAGTCCTGGTTGCTTGCCCATTTGGACTTTGGCTTTGTGCCAGGGCCTGAGTTTGCCATGTGCATCCATTTTACTGGCTTATTTGTGTGCAGCTGGTTGTTCCTTGTCAATGCTGCCTTCAGCTGGCTTGAGAATCAGCTGTACATACATGTGGTAACTGAAACTGACTCACAGAGTATGTTGAGAAAGGTGGAGACAGGTATGCTCTGTGCAAAGTGGCAAGCATAGTTAGCATCCTTTGGATATTTTCTAAGAATGGCGCTATGGGAAGTTGTCGGGGGATCTGGCCGATGCTCAACACTCAAGGAAAAGGTGGGCTGGAGTATGAGACAGTTACTGGTACAATCAGAACTGGAACTCTTTGCTAGATGGGGACAGAAAGCTTATGAGTGTTCTGAACTGTGATGTTGATTCTCAATTCAATTGGAAATATTTATGGAATTAGAGAGAGAGAGAGAGAGAGAGAGAGAGAGAGAGAGAGAGAGAGAGAGAGAGAGAGAGGAGAGAGAGAGAGAGAGAGAGAGAGGAGGGAGGGGGGGGGAGAGAGAGAGAGACACACACACACACACATACTCATGCACACCTTCTTCTGCATTCACCTTAAAAGGGTGGCTGGCATATTGTGTTCTTGTTTACAACTAGGCTGCATTATCTGTGTCTTTTCGCCGACACAACAGACTTTAGCAAAACTCCTTATTAGTCGCTTTTTATTACATGCTTAGACGTAGTAGCTGACATAGTTAATGGATCAACATCATGGCACAAGGGTAGTAACCCATAAGTGCTCCGTTCTACTTCTGACTCAAGCCTGAGTCTGAAGAATCTCAGCTCAGCGCACAATCTCTGTAGCACCGCAAGGATCCTGAAATACTTTGGGTAGATTTTCAACTCCAAATTGTGCCCTGGCAGCGCCGTTAGGCTACTCTTTTTCGATTTCCAACTGCCAAGGGATTTTTTACGTGTGCACCAATACACACAGGCATCCGATCTTACTACCCAAAGACAGGGGATTAATTACTAGTCCACGTGAAAAAATCCCAGCCTTCACCGGGGCCTGAACTCGAGACATCCAGCACTCGAGGCAGAAGCCATGCCTCGAGACCACGCAGCCTCCAATGTAACATGCTTGATAGGGTGCAGTGGGTCTTTTCCCCCTAAAATGGGACCCCAGAATCCACATGTGGAAAATGAGATACCAGACATTTTAGTTTGCTCTAAATTACGCTAAAAATTATTTTAAACAATGGGTTGTTTTGAGTTTTGGGCTCAGCTGTTTCATCTGTATGTGCATGTCTTTCCATTTGGAGATCCATGTAGGTTGCTGGAATTTTGTGCTTTGTGCAAAGTTCTTGAAGGATGAAAGTGGAGAGAGATCTCTAGCCATATGAAAAGAACATGGTGCAATGAAGTTGATCCTCTATAACAGGCTAAGTTTACCGAGGGGCAAAAATTCTGAAAATGAGGATCGTCATGGGCCAGAGGCCTGGGCCTCAGCATAGAAAGATCAGCTATCCTCCGAAAAACGCTTCCAAATTATCGAGGCCAAAAATATACCCTAACAGGGCCTCAGTCACATGTAAATTGCGGACCTCATTCCGGCAATTTTACCGCCGCCACCACCAAGATCACTCCGGCGCCGCTTAGTGGGGTTAAATCACGGCCAGCTCCAGTCAACTACAACTGAATCACGGCACATTTTCGAGAAGTCCCCCTCGAAAATAGGTTATTGCAAGCGTTTCCATGTTGCATTTTGTGACATTATAATTTGCTTACAAACTTCTGTGTTCTGATTGTATTCGTATTACAAATCGACAAGCGGATATTGTAAAGTGGACATACAGGCTGTTAGATTACAGCAATTTTAATTGTAATTCACGGGAGACAGTCGTGTTGTGGTGTGTGTGTCAGTGTCACTGTTTCTAGTCAGTAATTCGGATTTTTGGGAACTGGCTGTTTATTACTTTTCTACTTTAAATGTAGAAATCTTACTTTTAGGGAAAATACAAACAGGTAATTTAGAAGCCATATCTGGAGAATATCGACAGTTGTCAGGTGCAAACTATCTTGTGTTTGAAGAAAACTATTGCTTTCATATTGACTGTGCATAAATGGTGCAACACACTGTGGATAAATTGTGTCAAGATATTTCCGAGCTCTAGGTAAGTGGATAAAAATAATATTTGATTTACTAACTAACTTCTCACAGCAAGTCACTCTTTGCCTCTTTACTAATTGTTGACTAACAGTATAATTATATGTTTGTTAATGTTTGTAAACTGGCTTTTGCTTTGCTTCGCGAACACTGGCTGTAAACTCTTGCGGAAACTTCTGGTTGCTCATCGACTTCTTTTGCATATTTGCAGTTCTACGGTCTGTTAATTTTTGTAAACTGGCTTTTGTTTTGCTTCACGAACACTGGCTGTAAACTCTTGCGGAAACTTCTGGTTGCTCATTGACTTCTTTTGCATATTTGCAGTTCTACGGTCTGTTAATTTTTGTAAACTGGTTTTTGTTTTGCTTCGCGAACACTGGCTGTAAACTCTTGCAGAAACTTCTGATAGTTCATCGACTTCTTTTGCATATTTGCAGTTCTACGGTCTGTTAATTTTTGTTAACTGGCTTTTGTTTTGCTTCGCGAACACTGGCTGTTAACTCTTGCGGAAACTTCTGGTTGCTCATCGACTTCTTTTGCATATTTGCAGTTCTACGGTCTGTTAATTTTTGTAAACTGGCTTTTGCTTTGCTTCGCGAACACTGGCTGTAAACTCTTGCGGAAACTTCTGGTTGCTCATCCACTTCCCTTGCATATTTGTTACCAAAAAATTCGCAATGATAAGGAATTGATTTCATCCAACAAGATGAAACTGGACAAATTTGTTTGTGCTGTTTGTACCTTGAGGATACATATTTAGTAGTGCTATAAGTACTGTTAAGAAAACTATTCTGGGTGAAAAAAGTATTGCACATATCAATTTCATAATGATTGTGCTTGTTTACTAATTATTAAATAACAGTATAATTGTATGTTGTAGTAGTCTACTAATAATAATAATAACCATCAATCATTTATATTTATGTTATGTATGACATGTGTATGTTTCATAGCAGTATTTTTATGCGCTAAATTTGATAAAGTACAAATGTCACCCCCCCCCCCCCCCCCTTTCCGCTCCTCTGATGCAGCAATACCCTCTCAGAATCAAAGAGTTATCACTGATATTTCTTTACTTTTGCTGGAACAACTTTTAGTTTACATCTAAACGTTATTGATGTTTATGTTCATATTGACTGTAGCAAAAGCATTTTTGTTTGTCTGTAAGAGCCTTTATTGTTATATTTAAATGGCATACTTATTTACCTTAAAAATAACGTTTAGTTCTAAAAAATATGTCGAAAATTAATGAAACTGCAGTTTAATTTGTGTATACATCTCGTCGATAAAAACTGTGGAAGCAGAGGGACTCAATTCTTGCACAAGAACGGGAATCCCCGTTGACCTGTTAGGCATTATTAGAGAAGGCAGTGGGTTAAATTTAGCGACTACGGTGTTCGGCAATTTGCGGTCTTTTGGCAATTTCCATTACCATGGAAACCGTTCAAAACTTGTTTGGGAAATGTCGGCTGGGGTTTCGGGATGGGTCCCAATCTCTCATGTAATTTTGCGATTGGTGTGGTTTTCACCAGTATAAATAGCTGAAAACGGCGGGAACGAACCCGATTAACAGCGCATGTCTACGACAGCCGGAAGTCCTGTTTTTCTGTTACATCAGTTTTATTAAAAATAGCGATAAGTATTCAAGGTTGGCTTTAGGCTTAAACATTACTCGTACTGGTAATGCTGGTTATAATTGAATTCTCCGTCCAATTTTACATTTGTATATAAAATTTCTTTCGTATCAGTGGCTTTTTAGATTTACAGTGACATTTTTCAGGCAATCGCTATTATCATGCTGTGAAAATAGCGGTAAGTATGAATTCAAGGTTGGCTTTAGAATTTAACATTACTCGTACTGGTAATGCTAGTTATAATTGAATTCTCCGTCCAATTTTACATTTGTATGTACAATTTCTTTCTTATCAGTGGCTTTTTAGATTTACAGTGACATTTTTCAGGCAATCGCTATTATGTGGCTGTCTCATTGTCTGCCATCTTGTCCAATGCAAACAAAGCCAAAACAATAAGTGCCCAGTTTGGTCGCGCAGAGAAAACTTCTTGTTTCACGGACGCAAGTTTTCAACAGCTGTTTTTTACATCTCATCTCCACAAAAACCTACATATCTCAGCTCAGAAATGACATACAAGCCTAAATGAGGTACCATTGGAAAGAGATTGTTTACAGCTATCTAACTATGCTGGTTTTAATTGGTGTAGAGGGCATTTTGAAAATTTGACTAAAGTATCTATTAAATTAGATGGCTGGGACTCACAAGCAAATAAAATGAAGGAAGCTGCAGGAGATGCGGTAGCTGCTGCTCGTGAGTCCCAGCCATCTAGTTTAGCCCCACTAAGCGGCGCGGAAGATACTTTCGGCTGTGACTTTAACTCGGCGGAAGCTGTGTAGGTGTCGGAAAGAGGTCTGCAATTTACATGTGACTGAGGACCTGTTAGGGTATATTTTTGGACCTCGATAATTTAGGACCATTATTTGGAGGATAGCCGAAAAATCATGAAATCAATACAACTGGAAATGATCCACGGGGCATTCGCTAGGCCTCCGTGGGCCAAATCTGGCTAGTCAATTGCCTGCTCTATAATAAACTATAAACGGTATAAATGCTTTTAATTCTAAAAAAAACATTAGTCTGCTTTACACGGTTGTTCATAATTACGATAATTAAATTAGAAAATAAACCCCTTTAGAATTTAAAAAAAATTTCTGTGTTGGTACCGAGGTCGCACTCACTGTGTGTACACTGTGATGGGAAGAGGCATATGCCACCCTAACAAGCAAGCTGTAAAAGTTCACTAATAAGAAGTGTTTCACTTGAAGTCGGAGTGCATATATGATATGCCAAAATGTCTAAAGACAAGGAATCAACGGGTCAGATCTGTAAAAAAATGAATGTGATTGTGATGTCACTGATCTGCATGCAAAACCCAAGTAGTTGTGGAACCGTAACCAACTAACAAAACAAAATTGTGTGGGTGACCGGTAAGCAAACATAACTTTCCCTGGGATTTTTCTTGACTGGGGATTTCCTATTGTCAGCTTCATAGAAAATATTATTAGGTTCGACTTCAGGAGCCGAGAAGCTAACTAACGCTACTAAAGAAAAAAAAAAGCTGGACCCGACATGGAGATAATTTGTTCGTGGTGGCCGGTGGTTACGAATGGAGTTTTGGAGATAATCAACATTGAATTTGAAAAAATATACAGAAATTGGTAATAGCGTTATTTCAACCGATAATCTGTCTTTTAAAAAAAAACTGAAATTCAACAATCGTATATGATAATAAACATAATTCTCTCCTTGTCTTGCTCAAAATACAAACCTTCATATGTGTCAGCCATTTTTTTTAAAAACCAGTTTCGTATTTGCTTCGTATCGAATTTATCGAAATCTAATTTCATGAAACGTCTAATCGAAGTGTTTTTGAACTTGCGGGATAATAAGTCAAATAATAACAAAATAATTAACAAACATAGACGTCTATTTCTTCTTTTTCTTTTCTAGTCCTGTTCTGCCTTTCAGGTTTTAAAGAGGCATCGGGTGAGAGACGTAGATGTTGGTATGCACGACTTCTGACATCCCACCTCTATCCATTGTTGTGAACACTGGAAAAAAATCTCTAAAAGGAGGGATAGAGGAAGACAACGAGGGAAGATTCTTGACAGTCTTGTTGCACGGCATGGAGGTGTGTCAGCACACGAATTGATACATGCTGGAGGAGATCGCGGATTGTGGAGAGGCATGATCGCCTACGCCAGTCGGCAAGGCATCTGTTTGATTGATCCCTATCCACCGCTCGCTTCAAGAGGAGCATATTTTACTGAACGAAGTTAGTTAGTTAATTAGTCGACTGATTATTCTCATTGCACATCCCGCAGCGTGTAGCGGTTGACGACACCAGTCCTATGTTTTCAGATTCTTCCTTGGCTTCCTGCATATTGGCATTGTTCTTGTCTAGTCACACCCCTTTTAACATGCTGTTCTCACAGTGTGGTCATGGTCGCAGCTTCACAGTTATCACATGGTTCTCGCAAGCGCCCAACTACTCGAAGAGCATTCATAATTTCTGCCTGGTCCATGGCTCGTCAGCCAGCCACTGTAGCTTTACCTGCAAGCCTATCAGCACGATCATTTCCTTGCACGCCTGTGGGACCTAGCACGAATATGAAGCTGATTTGCGCCAGAGACTCCAACTGATATGCGCCAGAGACTCCAACTGATATGCGCCAAAAATTCCAGTCACTGTCTTCGGACCCAGCCCATTTCTATTTTCCTGAGCATACTCACTGAGTCACAGAGAAAACATGTGCGAGTCTCCAGCCATTTTATTGCTTTGTTCACTGCTATGATCTCCATAGTCCGACTACTTGTAATCAAGGTGAAAGCACACGAATCTTGCATAACACTTCTAATTCCAAACTAGACGAAGTAATGATACATATATAAAATAGCAAAAGCAAATACTAAAAATAACATGTGGACTACATATCTCAATTGAGGGGGGGGGGGGGCTGATTGCTCTTTTTTTTTTCTTTAAAAAAAAAAGCTTGGAACAATACAACACATCTCTTTTTAGAGCTCCCACCCCTTCCTCCCCCGACTGACTGTAAAAATTTACTAGTGGGTTATACCAGTGTGCCATGATGTTAATCCGTCGAATAAAAATATCTTACTTATAACTCTCAACATTGTAAAAGTATACTGTTTGCCAATTTATTTTTCTTTAACATTAAAACAAAATACATAGTACACTCAACGTACAAACAGTTTTGTCAACCAGCATAGTATAGCACTACTAACCACAGGACGCTGATGCATATATCGAAGGAAGAAACTGAGCACCTTTAGACGTGCCCGAAGTGCTGTGAAGATAAACTCATAAATATTAACTTGATGATGATGACAATTTTCTCAGACAAAATTAAACTCCTAACATCAGAGAGCACATCTTCACGACGACGGTTATTTATTCAATTTCAATAACCAGCAGAAGTTGGACGTGAGTAGCATTGTATTTGTCATGTTATCTCGCGTATTTCCTAAATTTTCATGTTTCAGTAGAAAGTAGATAGAAGAGGTGTCAAACGTCAATTCACTGCACTATAGATCAATTTAACAAGTAGTCACACACTTTCTGAGAATCTCAGTGAGATGCAGAGATCAGATCAGATAAAAAAAAGGTGGTAAGACCGTAAGATGGCAAGGCAGTCAAGTGGACAATAGTCAGACCAAGAGTCTCTTTCTGCTTTTTACCTCCACTACTTTTGACCTCTGCATAGTATGAAATGAATGAATCAGGAATTATCCTGACTGCATTCTGGATACTCCCATAAGTGCTCCACCCCCTTCCGCAATAGCTAACGAAGAGTTCCCATAGTAGTGATAGTAAGTGACCGTTGCCGTTGCAAACTGATTAATAAAAGTTAAAAGTTTGCTTGTTGTTTTTTTTTTTCTCCTGCAGGTAGAAATTGTCCAGACCCTTTGCCTCCTCCAAGTTAAATAATTTTCCTGAGATATTCTTCTTCTTCTGCGTTCGACATCAGTCATGCTAAACATTGAGTCCCGTCTGGGTCACAAATAATAGGATTGTGGGCTCTACTGGCAAATCCGGACGAAGAATAAACAGCCGTGGACGACTTAGTCAGAGTTCTCTCCCTTGGCCGCACTCCAAACAGTGATCGGAAAACAAACGAAACAAACGACACACTTAGCTATCATCCTGCGGTTGCGTGTAGGGCTGCGTACCGTTGCGTGAGGCATCGTGGCATCATCATATGGTTGCGTGCAGGGTTGCGTACGGTTGCGTGAGGCATCATCATGCGGTTGTTGGATTAGAGTTAGGGGTAGGGTTAGGGTTAGGGGTAGGGTTAGGGGTAGGGTTAGATGTGAAAATTTAGACGTAGGATTTCGAAATACTGGCCGACAATATGATGTTTGTGGGAGTGGCGCCACTGAAACTCTGCCAAATATGACACCAATAGCGTGCGGCTGGTGCCCCCAATCGTTGGCGAATTGTGCGTTTGACCAGCATCCAGAGGCCCTCGATTGTTTGTGTGTGTGTGTATGGGACTGTGCGCGATTATAGGGAACTCCGGCGTCAAAATTGTCAAATCTAACGCTAAACCTAACCCTACCGCTAACCCTAATCCTAATCCTACTCCCTAACCCTAACCCCTACCCCCTAACCACGCAAATTTATCGATCATTAAAGCATACAATTCGGCAAACACCAACAAACAAAACACACCCAAAAAAACACCCAGAATTGTCCTGCAGCGTCAAAAAAAAAACCATATCTGGGGGAAACAACCAAGCATTGGCAGCCCTGATGTCGACGTGACTGTCTTCTTTGTTTCGTTGTGGCTTTTCCGATCACTGTTTGGAGTGCGGCCACGGGAGAGAACTCTGACTAAGTCGTCCAAGGCTGTTTATTCTTCGTCCGGATTTGCCAGTAGAGCCGGATTGTGTCCCCCATAGCTTCTCTCGCAATGTGGATCCCCTGGGCCAGATCCACAGTCTTTGCTGGGAGATATGAAGGCTGGGCTTTTTCTGTTGTACTGTTTGCCAGATCCAACAGAGCAGGCGTGAGCAACCTTTATTTAGAATTTCTGCAAAATTTCCAATCTCATGGTGGACCCTACAGAAAACTCCATTATAAACATAAAATCCAGATTTCCTGGTGAAATGATATTTTCTTGGAATACCAGACTGTTTTGATCTATAATCTTATTGACCAGAGAAAAATAAAAGGGGCTCTCCTGTCAACTATGGCCGGTAGACAACAGTCGACGGCCGGTTAGTCAGAGTTCTGTCCCCTGGCTGCAGTGCTAGTACGGAGTGGACAGGAGGGAACGAAACAAATGACATAATTACTGTGTGTTGGCGATAGACAGCGTGCACTGCCCTGCTATAATCATACGGTTACTGTTTGGGGTAGGGTTACGGGTAGGGTTAGGGTAAGGGTGTGGGTTAAGGTTACAGTTAGTATCGCCACATCTCGTCTTCGCACAAACTCATAGTAGCAACCCTAACCCTAAACCTTACCCAAACCCTACCCCTAACCCTACCGCTAACCCTAACCCTACCCCTAACCCAAACCTTAGGGCACTGCACGCTGTCTATCGCCGACACACAGTAACTATGTCACTTGCTTCGTTCCCTACAGTCCACTCCGTAATGCGTTGCAAGAAGCGGTAATTGAACGCGGTCGCTAATTTGAGTCGCAGCGCGGGGTCTGCAAGGTATGTCGACCTCACTGTGTTTTTTGATTCGTGCCGTCTCCAGTCCGTAATTGCACTGCAGCCAGGGGATAGAACTCCGACTAACTGGCTGTCGACTGTTGTCTACCGGCCGTAGTTGACAGAAGAGCCAAGAAAGGTCCTCACCTTATATTTAATCAGGCTGTGCTGATAGACACTGTCTCCTAATGTCTGAGTTTGCCTTCAAAAGGTGTTTCACTAGCAGGTTGTCACTGTTTATGTAATCATTATTGTTTTGGATATTGACATATTTGTTTTTTTTTTTGGCTTTCTGCATACAAATGTATGTAATTTTTTTCTGCTGTTTTGTGAGCTCAAGGGCCAGATTATATAGTGATTTTACACCAGCATTGCAAGCCTGTAAAAACTGCTCTGGGGGCCGGTTTTGGCCTGTAGTCCAAAGTTTGCTCATCCCTGCCATAGAACCTTCAGCATGTCTGCTTTAAAATGGCTGTCCAAAGGGGTGGCAGCAGCCAATCTCTTGGCCTGCTAATTTTCTGCATACACTACTTACTTTTTTCTCTGCTTCTGTAATTGCAAATTGTAATTGCTTACTTCTTGGCTTTAATCAGTCATAAGTGACAATCACTGCTTACTTTTCTTGTGCTCTGATCAATCTGTAAGTGACAATCACTGCTTACTTCTTTGCTCTGATCAATCTGTAAGTGACAATCACTGCTTACTTCTTTGCTCTGATCAATCTGTAAGTGACAATCACTGCTTACTTCTTTGCTCTAATCAGTCATAAGTGACAGTCACTGCTTACTTTTTTGTGTGGCTCTGATCAATCTGTAAGCAACAGTCACTGCTTACTTTTTTGTTCTGATAAATCTGTGACAATCACTGCTTACTTCTTTGCACTGATCAATCATAAATGACTGTCATTGGTTACTTTTTTGCTCTGATCAATTGTAAGTGACATCACTGCTTACTTCTTTTGCTCTGATCAATCATAAGTGACAATCACTGCTTACTTCTTTTGCCCTGATCAATCATAAGTGACTATCATTGCTTACTTCTTTGCTCTGATCAATTGTAAGTGACAATCACTGCTTACTTTTTTGCTTTTATCAATCTGTAAG